TTCTGTCCCTTACCAAGTTAGCTGTGGTGCAGTTATTTTCTGAACAGTTGCTTTAACTTTCTGCCATACCCATATATTTAAGAAACAGCAGTTTGCATTCTGACTGCTGGTGAAATGTTGGTTTTGAGTAGCTACAGAGTGCTTCGCAGGCAGGATGAGATCCTTGACAGTAATTCCAATTAGATGGAAATGTGTTCCGCTCTGCCGTGTTCCGTGGCGCGCAGGTAAGGACGCACGTGCGCGTTGGAACAACACAGCTACCGAGAGGGGCAGCAGCTTTGCTGAAACGTAACAGGTAGGTGCCGAGTTAGAGCTGAAACTCGCCTTTTTGCCTTGCTTTTTGGGGGTCTGGCTCGTTTTTATTGCAGCCCGTACAGTGGTGATCCCTTCTGTCCTGTTACTCACTTGGCTTGTGTATGGGCTCGGGAAGAACAACGAATGTTGGAAGTTGCCTAGTGTTCGCTTTATAGTAAAAGGGAGTTGGGGTCTGTCATGGAGGGAGGCAACAAGGCGTTAGAAATATTCTACAAACACAGCTACTAGCTTGTGTATGGATTAAAATAAACTCAGTAACAAGAAAGTCAGTGTGTGTGCCAGGAACTCCGCTGCTTAAGAACCCTACTTAGAAAAGTGAGTAGGGTTTTACGTGTTAAGGAATATGTTTATACCCGTGTATACTTAAACACCTAGTTATCTTTCCTAATTATTTCCTCCTCACATGTTGAACAAGCTGCTTATTCCATCCAAGCGAGTTAGCTTCCTGGTGTTTCTCATCTTGTGGTGAAGAGCTCTGCAGAAGGAGTTGATATTTCGGGCTGTTAGCTCACTCTCTTTGAGCAAAGGGTTAAACAAAATTTACACCTTTTGCGCTAATAGACCGTTGGAGGAAATACCTTTCTGACTAGTGCTCAAATCATGCTCTGAAACAGAAGAATCGATGGTCTGTATTAGCCATTAGGTGCTTAAAATACCCAAACCCGACACCAACTAATTTAAGTACTGATAAACGAAGTAGTCAGGATGCAGTACTCCTAAAAGTCCCGCTGCTATAGTACTGGAGAATGAGGTGGTGGCTAAATATAAAACTAGCTTATTGACTGACTTATTACCACTGTGTCCTTCTTGGCTTCAATCCACTTTTTTTTTTTTTATATAATAGTTGATCAAATCTGGATTATAAGATTTATACTAAAAAGTAGAAAGGGATACTTATCCTAGGCACTAAGTGCTTGAGCCACGAATTACAGAAACAAAATTAGATTGTTCACAGAGCATCTCATATGTTAGTATCTTTAGTTTTGCACTGCTTGATTTTTTTACTCTTAGATTATTCCTGATTCCTTACGTGTCTTTG